CCAAACCGGGCCGTATACCTGCTTCTTGCTTTTTCACTTCCCTTCTCTCTAAAATGCTATGAAAGACGACGATAAAATGATTCCACTGAATGAACAGGTCATCTTAAGCCATTTTTTCCTCTTGTCCTGAAGATTAAAAACAGTAATGTGAAAATAGCTACCCAACTTGCATTAATTTCCCTACATTTTCCTCCACTTATTGATTATACCTTGACATCAAAGCTGAAACATGACAAAAATAGAAAAACAACAGAGAGAGAGGAGAGGGAAGAGAGAAAAAGAGAGAGAGAGAGAGAGAGACAGAGAGAGAGATGAAGTTTGCTTTTCTACCCCCAAACTATGAACACAGAGCAGTTTTGCAGGAGTCCCTCAACTTCCCTGAGAACTACTAGACCAATATCCTCTAGGATTTCCTCAAAACCCACAGTTCTTGGAAAGTCAGAGAGCCAAAATTTATGTTCTAAAGGTAACTGCATGGAAAACTAAGACTTTCTTAGCTCAGTACCTGTGACAATGTATTTTCTCATTGTAAATATCACCAACTGTACTAAAAAATATTAAGAAAGGCTTTTGCCTTTGGAAGGGTTTTAAACCCAGACTAGGTGCCTAAAAATGGCTGGTGTTATTGATCCTTCTGAATGTATTTCTCTTTCTCCTCTCATACACACACACACACACCCTTCAGTCAACTGAGTAATGTCTTCTGAAGCCAAATGCCAAGCATACTTAGAAAAAGTATTGCAATCCCTGGAGGAGGAGCACTTCAATTACAAACAAAAGCAAGATGTAACTACACCGTCATTTCAGAAAAACGCTGATGAAATGAGGAACATCAGTAAGGGTTTTCGTTCTTCACAAGACATCCACTTTCTGTGGGTGACTTACCTTTATTTTCATGCAAGGGTTCCTCACGACTTTTTCTCTAGGTAAAGTCTTCCTGCAGTCCTTCCTCTGTGCACACTGGCAAGATTCCCTCAAGTCTCTTCTCATCACAGAACAAACAAAGCGTCATGCTTACCTGCATTAAAGCCTCAGGCTACTTGCCTTTGGCTCACTGAGGTTAAGAGAGGATAGGAAATAGGAGCCTCTGCCTTCCAGGGTCACTGCAAAGAAAATGTCCTGCATCTGCATGTATTTAGCTTATAAGAATCATCTGGGGACTTCGTTAAACTGCAACTGCCTGCCTGAAGCCCAGCACAGGTGATTCTGATGCCGGTGGTCTTTGGGTTTTACCTAAAGACAGAGCTTCATAAACTTCACAATGCCTGAGAATTGGAGAGGGCAGTGGAGAATGTTGGTAAAATGCAGACTTCAGTTCAGTAGCTCTCAGCTACAAACTCAGTGAACCTAAACTCCGCCTGGGGTTTCTAATGAGCCCGCGGGTGATGTGGATGCTACTGGTCCTTGGACCACACTTCGGGTAACAAGGCTTTAAGAAATGGTGGTGGAAGTCCTCTCCGCTGAGCTTGGGATGTCCAGGCCACTCAGGAGCTTGTTAGAAATGCAGACCCCCAGCTTCCACCCCAGACCTGCTGCATTAGGATCTGCATCTTGTCAAGATGCCCAGATGATTCTCATGCACATTAACTTGGGAAGCTGACAGAGAAGAACTTCAGGGACAAATCCACAAGTTCACAATTGTTTTCTGTTAGAAAGGTCAGAGGTGGACAAAAAATAAATGAATCATTTTGATTCTAAGATATTTGGAATCCATATTAAAAGCACACCTGTATTAGAGGAGAGAGAATAGCCAACCTATTTAGAAGGCACCTTCTTAAATTCCAACGCCCTCTCTACCAAAGGGAACCACGGAACCAAGTAGAACAATAGTTGTTCTACGTTGTTCTAGTTGTTAGCCCCACAGTTCTGCACGCGAGCGGCTATCACATGCCTTCTCTTTTCTCTGCTTTCAGTACTTCTCATGATCATGAGGTCAACCAGTTTGGGAGCCTTGCTATACCCAATGGACAGGCAGTTTAAATAAGAAAAGTGGATAAATAAAGTCCAGTACCTCAGTCAGAAGGCAAGGTGAAGCCATACTTTTGGACCTCCTTTGCCTCTTGTAAAGATTCAAGCTTTGCTTGATATTTAGGGAGAGCCGAAAAAAGGAGATGTTACCTCTTCCACAAACTCGGTACCTTGCAAAGTGCATGACACATTGTAAGGATAATCTAATAGATGTTAGTGGAAGATGCTTATTTCAAGATTTAAAGCAATAACTTGCTAAAAAGTGGAGGCTAAAAGAAAACATGCAGCTATCCAACTTGCCATAAACCAGAAAGGGGGAAACAACTTGAAGTTTAAAAAAAAAATAGAAAAAAAGAAAAAAAAATGAAAGCAAAAATTTAATTAGATAATGGGGTCTAACAGAACCTGGGATCACAGGGAACCCCCAAAAGCAATTGGAATCAGTGAGCTCCTACATACAAGCTCTTTATTTCCTTCAGTTTTGTTTTCATGAGCTTCTGTCCAGAGGAAACTGCTTGCTGCAGGCAATTGCTTGCATTTGTTGATCAATAGATCATGGAATAGTCAAAGGAGGTAGGGACCAGCCAGGAAGGGTTGGTGCTGGCATTGATGAATGCAGACAGGGCCGATGCAAATATCGTGTTCAATTAGCATTTTTGTGGACCTAGCAGTTTCTGAAAACTGTTTTGAAGCCATAGAATATGCAGGGAGCATCTGGCTCCATTTCTGGAAATCTTTCTGACCCCACTGCCTCCTGCTCTTCAGCCTGTAGCACTCAGACTCAATTTTCTGCCCTTCCTCATGCCAATCTTAGTATCTTCCTGCAGCTCTTCTGGCTGCTTCGCCCCCGTGTTAGAGGCTTTAAATTTTAGTAATCATAGTAGGTCCTTTTTTGTGTTCCTACTATGTGCACTTCACATGTCTTATTTAATGGTAACAACCAACTATTATTGCTTCCAAATAAAATAACTAAAGCGCCAAGAGGTGACTAAATCTGCCCAAGGTCACAGAGCTGGCAAATGAAAGTTGTAGGATTCTGTCCAACGTCTGTCCCAAACCCACACTTTTCTGGCTCAATCATTCTGTCCCTTGTAGCTTTTGTTCTCTCCCTTCAATCTTGCCTTCCCAGTCACTATGTTTGGGAGTGGCTCTTACTTTCAAGAACCAGCTTAGGATGAGTATCTAAGGCTCTCATTCTTTTTTTTTTTTAATTTCAAAAGATTAAGGGGGCACAAATGTTTTTGCTACATGGACAGATTTATAATCTAAGGCTCTCACTCTGACTTCATCCCTCCTCTTGGCATCCACTTTTGCAGGTACCCTCCCTCCCACATTTGATAACCACAGCCTCAGTGCCTTTTCTTTTCTTTTTTTTTTTTTTTTTTTTTTTTGGTAACAAAACATTGAAATCATTTTATTTAAATTTAAATGAAGTCATAAAATTGCAATGTTACTTGTAGCAGTGCCTTTCAAATAGACTTTCTCCTGAAAGTTTCAAGTGGATTTTGCATTTCACATTATGTACACTAGAGATTAAGAATTAAAGTCAAGCCCTTTGCCAGCATTCTCTTATGTTCAGAAAAATCAAGAAAAATAAGGGCAGGTCCCAAAGTATGTTTATAAAAAACATTTCTACATTGATCTATTTTGATAATCAACTAATTTTCTCTGTTCCATCATAGGTGTCTACTGGCAATTCCAGTACTCTTGAGCCATTTTCCCAAAACGATGACTAATATTACATAGTTGTCCCTTTGGATTGGTTCCAAAACCCCTTGTGGATACTAAAATCTGCAGATGCTTAAGGTCTTTATATAAAATGGCATAGAATTTGCATATAACACATGCACACCCTCCTGTATACTTTAAATTATCTCTAGATTACTTATAATACCTAATACAATGTACATCCTATGTAAATAGTTGTTATCGTGTATCGTTTCTTCATCTGTATTATTTTTTTATTGTTGCGTTGTTATTTTTATTGTTTTTTTCTGAGTATTTTCAATCCTCATTTGAATCCACAGATGTGAAACCTGTGTATACAGAGGGCCAATTGTTCTTATTCAAGTATGATTCACCCTGTTGTGATGTATAGACAAACTCTGACTACAGAGAACCAGGTGAAAGCCCATGATAGAGGTGATGTTTTTACAGAGGATTCCACTCACATTTAGATGAAAGCCTCCTTTATTTAGTCTCTCTGTGAAATATTTTTTCATATTACAAAATCACAAAGGAGGAAGGGTTTTTGACTGAAAGTCAGCTGTCGGGTAACTTGCCAAGCAAAACGTTGAGGATCCACTGCCAACATCTCCAGATAATTCTTTTGGGGGAAGGAGGAGAGTCTTCCTGGTGATGAATGAATATTTGGACTTGGTGATTAATCACAATTATACTGGAAGGTGCGCCCACATGTGTCCGCCCTGTAACACCTTCCCTGCTGCCACTAGCTACAAAAGCTCCCCCACCAAAAAAAATTGTTTTAATTGACTATAAACCAGCAAATTGAGCCAAATCTCCAGACAAGGCAGGTATAATGAAAACTCCTCCTTTAAAAATAAGCCTGTGATCTGCTGTTTGTCTTTTCATGTCGAGAAAAGGACAGAACTTTGGGGAAAAGAAAAGTTTGAAAATATTGGTCTTTATAGGCCCATCACTCATTCATCATTGAGCACCATCACGATATTCTGGGAGATCTTTTAAAACTTAACTTCCTAACAATAAGTCCTTCTGAAAGAAAAGTTTACTAGGCTCATTGATTCTCTTTTGGCAAGCTTGCAACTCCTGAATTTGGACAGATTAAACCCAGTAAAGATTTCCTATACTGTTTCTGAGGACATTACCTGAAAATTCAGAAAGCTTCTCTTAAATTCCAGGAAAAAAGAAACAAGAGGAAGGAAGGAAGGGAAGGAGGCAGGGAGGGGGGAGGGAGGAGGTGAGAGGAAGGAAGGAAAGAAAGAAGGGAAGGGAGAGGAAATAAATCATGTAGAATATATATTTCCAAAACCAAAAGGAAAAAGCAATTCAGCTAACATATATTAACCTTTATTCTATAACAGACATAAATAATTTTATGAATTCATATGACCTATACAAAAGACAAAATAAGATATTGCACTAAATTTAGATATGGGATATTTGAATTTAATATTAGCTAAACAGATAAATATATACAATTTAAGGAGTTAAGGCAAAACCAGATGATACTTCAAATACAACATAAGGTTTGAAAAATAGGTATAATTAAAAACAACAGCATCCCACCACCAGTTAATAAAGTGGTCATGTCTAAGGAAAAAAAATCCCTTAGGTTTTTAATAAAGTGGTTATTATCAATCATGTTAATTAAAGTTGAGCAATCAAGTGTAAGATTTCCCTTGGAAGAGGGGCTGTTTTGCCAAGGTTTGGGGATTGAGCACTTAGAATTCTGGTAAGCAACTTCTTCCTTGTCAGATTTATGATTTATTCTTCCTATTAGAAAATATAATTTGGAAAATATGACTCTTTCACATATATAATTAAAATACAACTATGAAGGGTTTTTTTTTGTTTTGTTTTGTTTTTTTGAGGGAAGTCATGTTGATGATCTCATCATAGTCAAGGTAAATTTGCGGACAAGCCATTCATTACCTTATTTGTAGAGAAAACACAATGCCAGTCACTGAAAAACAATTCCCAGTTACCTCCAGAGAACAAAACAAACTAATTTCAAAGGAAAAAAAAAAAAAAAAACAAGTGTAGTCAATATATCAACACAGTATACAGTTCTTTGGCAGTATCACACTAACCGTTGATTGAAGTCAGAACTTGAGAGTTTTCTAATTCTTAGACCCGGTTGCCAGTCTTTTAAAAATAAACAAATAAAATTCCACATCTGCAAAAAATTCAGTAATCCCAAGAAATTAAAGTGAATCTTGCAGACAGCTTTTTGACTGTTACATTTAAGCATAGATAGGTATTATCTGCTTTGAGTCCCAATCCAAATATACTGAAACACGTACACACACAAATAATCTGTGAAACTCTGTATTGGTTCAGACAGGTCTAGAATCCTTAAAGAGAATCCATATTCACCCATGAAAAACCAATAAAAGACATCAATCCCATGGTGAAAAAAAAAAATGTTCTTCCAATAACTCAGGGGCGGGCCACCCCTCACCTGGATAAACATCACGGAGAAATCAAATTCTATAGAGGGAACACCAGAAAGCCAGAGAACGTGGAATACTGCCAGCCTCCAACCAAATTACCTTTCTCCAGTTTTAGGTAAACCTTATCCTCTTTATCTAGGTAGAGAAGGACTCCATTAGTGGCGGCTTCACGAGTAACATCCTTGTCCCCAGCAAAGGCAGATATTACTGGTTTTCCATTTAGCATCAGGTTAACCTAGAATGAAAAAAAAATCACTAAAAAGCTCCCTTTAAAGTCAAAACATCTACTGGGAATAATCAATAATGTCGAAGATGACAGACCTGGTGAAATACCTGATGTTCACGTATATGTCCCTGTCCTTTCAAATTAGCCAATTGTGGGGGCCATAACTTGTATGTCTACTGAGCTGGTTTTGTAAAAAAAATTTTCTCACAGGAATTTCCTTAAATTCCTACAAAAGAACACCATCCATGGGGAGCAACCCAGCTATGTGGAAACTGGCTTCCCCTCAGCACATAAACCAGACTTACTACGTTATTTGCCACTTGCACCCAACAACAACCTTTTGGTACAAAAGCAGGCTTGCAGCTCCCCAGGGCATTCATGAAAAGACACCCTGTGCCCATGGACCTGACGAGCCCAGATGTAGCCAGAGTCTACCAACATCCCTGCAGGTCTCTGTGCAGCTGGAACATGCGCAGTGCTGACAATCATTAGGAATAACAAAGTGTGCGTGTGAGTGCGCGCACCAGTGCACGCGTTGATTTCTTTTTCTGTTTTCCCTGATAAGAAATGTGTATTAAAAACAATAATCACCACTGCCACTGGGGATTTTATTGATGAATAATTAGCAAAGAATCAACTCCAAATTGTATTAACTTTTTTCTATATTACAATTTTTATTACCTTGTGTCAAACATTACATAATTTCTAAATACCAGGGCTTGGGAAAAGCTGTTCTATTGAAGTAAGTTTGTTTACTAGATATTCATTTTTTTAGATTAAAAGTAATATTTAGTACATTAAATCTGATGCTGATTAATTTACCATTTATTGGGCATGTAAAAGTGATAGAGGAATATGTAATCTATCAATCATGTGGACATAATGTACAATGTAAATATTGAGCATAAGACAAAATGTTATCCTAGAATTCCACAGACATGTATTGGTGTCATTTGGCATTAGCACACTTGGATATTATAGGAATTAACTCCATTGTTGCCTTCAAGTGTAAAGTCAAGCCCATTATCTTAGAAAGTAGAGTACAAAATATATTGTGGAATTGTGATTGGTAAGAATTCAGTAGCATCAGAATAACTGAGGATAAACAGACACATAAGTTCAGCACATCCTTTGAAAAAAAGTATGTTGAATAGTTGTTCCTTTATAAACTTATTCTTAGTAGTTAACCATACCTGATAATTTGTAAAAATAATAGGAAATTTGTTTTATTTAGTATACACTTATTTAGTATGCACTTATTTAGTATACACTTGTAAAGCTCTGCTAGTCTTGCAAGTTTTTTTCCTTGTAAGTTTAAATAATTTCTATATGTGCATTAAATAAATCATAATCTTATACAGATATTTCTGTCACCAAATTTTTACTAAACCATACTTTTTAATATTTGGCTGTTATTAAGGTAATAGCTTCAATTGTTTATTATTATTAAAGACTACATGCTTTTTGTCACATGCCTTAATGGCTGTTATAAAGAAGAAAATTAGAAATTAGTTGTTTTAAAAAACAAACAATACAGCTGGATGTTTATTTTATTAATGAAAAAAGATCTTTGGATAAATCCTTAAATACATAACCCACTAAAGATGAACGCAGTTGGCTGGGGCAGAAATGGATTGGGTCAAAGCACATACCTGGATTGTTTGGCTCTGGTAGACCTTAATGACGTGAAAATTGAAACTGTAGATCCCTTTTCTTGGTGCTACAAAGACAGACTCCAGCGTGAAAAAATTACCCACATTTACTAGGATCTAAAAGTGAAAATAATGAAAAACAGTACATTATTATAATATTTTCTTCTGTAAGTAAAATAAATTTGCTTCCTCCCTTCTTTTCTTCCTTCATTTTCTTCTTTCTTTCTTTCTTTCTTTCTTTCTTTCTTTCTTTCTTTCTTTCTTTCTTTCTTTCTTTCTTTCTCTTTTTCTTTCTTTCTTTCCAACTAGCTTAAGAACCCATAGAGAATAAAACATCTAGTTCTATATCTTTCCTCATAGCTAATTTGGAAAATGGACTTTTTTTGTATTGGAAGATTCTTATGTCTTTTAAATGACATAAGAAAAAATAAAGTAACCTCTTTGTATTCATGTCTCAATTTCCAGCAAGGCCCAATGGCTCTGGAAACATCTAGGTAATGTTTGAGGGCTTATAAATATTAGCTTTACCTTGAGAGTCAGATAAAAGGCATCTGCCACGTGTTTACACTCCTACCTTCTACAAGCCTTTGCAATGTCCAGAGGTGACGTTTCTAAGCCAGCCAATCAGCATCCATGGACCCTCTGCAGTCATCCCTGGACACACAGAGGCATGGGCACCCCCTCCACTGTGTCACATAATCCTTGACACTGAGCAGTTGGTACACAAAGTGATCTGAATGCCTGGCCCTTCCCTGAGCCTCCGCCAAGCCTCTCCTAAGATCCATGGCCATTTTTTTTTCACTCCTGTGCCATCTAGACCTTAATTATAACAATTTGGCAATGAGTCAGCCCTTGCGTGCTGCCAAAGAGTAGAGCATGAATAAGGATAGTCTATGAAATAGGTGGCCTTTCCCTATATCTCCCAGGGTTGTGCGTTACCCTCCTGTCAACTACCTGCTCTTTAAATTCAAGGGTCAAAAGTGAAATTGGGAACTGTTTCCCAAGAAAGCAACAGTGCATTTTATATTCCAAGATGTTCAGCCTGATTCTATTGGTTATGGAATCAACTCTAAATTTCAACAAGTGACCTCTTATACTAATACGCAATGTCACAGAGGTAAGTCCCTTCCTATGAGAAGGAGAGGGAGACTGTGTGCAGGGGAGGATGGCAAAACATAAGATTTCTTCCATTTCTCTCCAATAAATAAATCTATAAGTAGCATTAAAAAAATCAGATATACTTAAAAAGACACATCTCCCATATACCAATGACAATCTGCTCCTATGTCTTTTGAAGACTGCATTCTTGCCAATATTAACACATTTTCAAGCCTCTTGCATAATTCCCTAAAAACGTACTATTACCTCGGAGCAATACAACACAATGTAGTGGCAGGTGGATGTACCAGGCTCAACGCCTAACTTAAAATTCATGTATGTGTATAATGTTATTCTGAGATTTCCGGAATCTTCCAAGTAGGCATCAGATTTCTTTTCTCTGACCTGATGATAGATGGTGTTTCAACAAGCCACCAGCTGTGCAATAATCCCAACAGAGGCTTTAAAGGGAATTTTTTTTTTCAAGCACATCTAAAATAACTTGAGGTGTTTAGCAGGGACTTCCTGATTCAGATCCAAGTAGCATAACTCATTAGCAATAATGGAAATGGCTGATTAGTGTTGACTATACATAAAGCTGGATGTTGACTCTACATCGTAATTGGACCATCCAGGCACATCAAGATTTATAACTAAAATGTGTCTTGTTGTCTCTAAGATGCATGGCTCCCTGAACAGAAGAACAAACCCTTTTCCTCTTCTAATTGACAGAAAGGTCATTGGAAAGAACACCTCGTACAGAGAACAGTGCAATGTCCACAGTATTCGAACATTTAATTAATGCCCTGAAATACAAACCAGGAGTGGTGCTAGACTTTATTTCCACCAAGATGGAAAATACTGCACCAAAACGCCAAACGGGGCTATTTAATTCTTTAAAAATTATGGCTATCAGATAGTAAGCCCCCGGAGAGACATTCTCTGTCTCTGGCCAGCTAGAGAGTGCATTACTTAGGGAAAATTAAGTAAAGAAATGCCTCCCCTGGCACATCGTGTGACCACATTTAACCTGTGCTCCTGTGCATTGTGACTTCTCCTACAACTGTGAACTGGGGTTTAGAATTTTAAGAGACTCTGGGTACTGTTGGGACTGACATTCAAACTCCGGAGTCACTTTTCTTCCTGAAGACCCCTTGCCAAAGGTAAACCAATATCCTGGGGTTTCTCATCATGCCAACCCGCAGAGCACCAGGTCGCTAAACAGAAGCCACAGTTTTCACCAGTTCCTCCCCCATCCCCTATCCTCAACCTCAAAGTCTTGTCTTTCCTCAGCAATTTGCAATTCTCTGAAAGGCCCGGAGCCCAGAAAGGGAGAACCAGCTCCCCAGCGCTTCCCTACGGGAGCTCAGCGCAGTTGCCAAATTCCTTTTCCTCCCCTCCTCCCCAACTTTTCTCCAAGTACCGCTTTCTGCCTACTCCAAGGCAGCTGGCAGCAGCGCCCGGAATGTGTCTGGGGACCCTGGCAGCGGAACCCAGAGACAAGATCTGACCCCCAGCCCCCGCCCTCCGCGGCCACCTGCCAGGTGTCTGCAGAGTGCCGAGGCCCCAAGCTCTCTTTGGGGAGAAGCTTTTCTACCTGGGAGAAACAAATCAAACGATCATCCCGAGTCCGCAAGAATGCCACGGGAACAGCCTCTTGGCAACACCGGCAGAGGAGTCTGACCCAGGGAGCCAAGCTCTGGCCAGGAGATCGCGATGTGCAGGGACCTGATTCCCTTCAGCTGCTGCGGACCTGTTGCTGTTAATCTTGTCCTGAGCTCCGCTGCTCGCCTCTGCGCCCCCAAGCCTCTCTCCCACCGCCCCGGCAGCCTCTCTTAGAGGCCAGGAGGCAACGGGGACCGGGTTGGGCTGGCGGGTAGATGTTAAAAGTTTCAGGCCCAAGACATATTTCGGGAGGTGGGTGCTTAAATGACCACCTCCAATATCCCAACTACACCGCCTTAGCCTGAGCAGGCAGCCTCGGTCGGTCGGAGGTGCCTGGAGACCGCCCACCCTCGCGTCCCTCCGGGTCTGACCTGATCAAAGTAGATGATGCGCGTCTTGTTGCTCATCTCGGATGGCTCGTGGTTGGTGCTCCGCACCGCCGAGAAGGCGACCTTGGAGTTGGCCGCCCGGACCGATATCCCCAGAGGGGAGGAAGAGGAGCCCTTGGAGTCTGTCGCCGGGTTCGAGTCGCATACCACCAGACACTTGCCCTCCAGCACGATGGGCTCCGTGTCGTTCTGCGCCCAGACGCGCAGCCCCGGCAGCGTGAGGACCAGCAGAACGGCCGGCACCACGGACAGCGCCCGGCGCCCGGAGCCCATGGTAAGCCGCTTGGGCAGCCGCAGCCGGCTGGCGCTTCTGCTCGCCCGCGTCGCCTCCTACCCCGGGATCCCGGAGCTCGGGATGATGCCAGTGGCTAGGTCGACAGCGTTGCAGGAACGACGGCGGCGGCGCACACACTTCCACCAATTCTGTGGTTTGAAGTCAAAGTCTCCCTTCGAGCTCTATCGTTGGCTCTGTTACCTTTGTCCTTTAAGGAGCTCATGCAGAACCCCCTACCCTACCCTCCTCCGCCCAAGAATCAGCCCTGCCTGGGGCTCCTGTGCCCACCCTTGTTCCCAGACATCTAAAAGTCATCAAACCCTCGCATTCACACCTCAAGGGAAAAAACAATAATAAATTCTCACCCCAAACCCAAGCACCACCAGATAAACCACAGAACAGGAAAAACAGGGGACGCAAAGAGAAGCCACACGCGTGGCGGTGCCAAGTGGTGCGAGTGTCGGTCCTGTACGAGTCTGGCTTGAGGCAGGAACGAGTTACAGAGGCAAACGGTGTTTCCAGCACCGAGAAGAATGCAAGGCTGTGATCATGGCCAGGACGCTAGCGACTCCCACTTTCGCTTGGTCAAAATATTCCCCCAAATCTGGTGCCACTCAGAGACAGGAAGGTACGCAGCAGCCAGCCGGTGCCCCGCACCGAAAGCACACGTTCGCAGGATCAGTTCCAGGATGCGGAGCGCAGGGTGCAGGGCAGCTCGTCCGGCGGGGTCCTCTCCTGCCTCTCCTCGCGCCCCCAGTCCCTGCGCACAACTTTCTCTCTCCTAGCGCAGCCTGGAGAGCGCCAAGCGGGCACACGCGCGCTATTTATAGGAGTGCAGCGTCCGGCTGGGGTTGGCTCATTGCTCACCCCGCGGGCTCCGGGGAAAGGGGGAGAAGGCGTCTGGTGACCCCATCTGAGCAGCAACCTCCTGACGTTTAACGCGCCGCGGAGCAAGCGGGGCGCACAGCACCGCTGATTGGCAAGGTCTGAGGCCACTCGGCCCCCGAGAGCGCGCGGCGCGGAGGGCGTGTGCCCAGAGAGAGGGGCCCACAGCCCTGCGCTTGCCCAGCTCCGCGTCTGCTCGCCTCCCGGTCGGTCTGGTCCCGCCGAGAGGGCTGCGGCTCCGCTCGCCCCTCCCCAGCGCGGGACTCCGCGGCCGAGCGCCCTCCGAGCGGGCGGAGCGCGGCGCCGCCAGACCGGGTTGCGGGGATGGAGGGGCCGCGGCGGACCCGCGCGGCGCGCTGCCCGGAGCCGGGACCGGCGGGGGTCCAGACCGCGCCTGGCGGGGAGCCAGTCCCGCCGAGCCCTCGGGCCTGCCGCGCTCGGGGAAGCCTCGGGGCGTCCCAGACCCGTGGGGGCGGCGGGAAGGAGGTGCCTGATTCCTTCCTTCCGCTCCGGGAAGAAGAGCCCCAGAAGCCGCAGGGGTGCGCCTTCCCACCCACACCGCGAACCCACCCCAAGGCCAAAAAAAGAGTGAGAGAGGGAGTTAACTCAGCCAGAATAAGTGCTCTGAAACCGCGCCACCTGAACAAACAAGCCAGCCCGCTGCTAAGAATACAGCATCCTTCGCCCCCTTTGACGCGCCTCCCTCCCCCGCGACACCCACTGCCATCTTGGCCTCTGATTGGCAAGAGGTGTCGCCCTCTTCTGCAGCCACCCCGGGAAGGGCGGCTTGTCCCTGTCTGTGACCGGCTGCGTGAACTTGGCCAAGTCACTCACCCTCTCTGAGGGCGACACTTGCTTAACTAAGGTCCCGTGAGCTTCCCCGTGGTCTGTGATGTTTGGGGTCATGGCACTTCCTGCCTGAATTCCTCCTAGGCTTCCAGCTCCTAGAACAGGCACCTGTCTTTAACTCTAACTGCATTTCCCCCAGGCATTCGGAGCTCCCAAAATTGTACTAAAGAGTTATTAACTGCAGGGATGTTTGCTGAGGGATGTTGTTGGCATGGATAGCTCCCCGCTGCTTCCGGAGTGAAGGGCATCCTCATGAGCGTGGCATTCAAGCCCTCGGCAACAGAAGCCAGACCTGGGTCTCCAGAATTGTCCCCTCACGTGTTCCTTCCTTCGGGAGCGCAAGTTAGTGTGCCATAAACGCCACACTGCTTTTGGCACAGTTCCAGTTGCTACAATTGGGGATACCACTACTGGTTGGCAATCCCCCAGCCCCCACCTCCCTGTAATCTCTAAACTAGAGTTCATACCTGGTGCCATAGAGGCCTTCAGATTCTGCTCCAGTGGGGCCAGTATCAGCTCTGATTGGCAGGTGCTGGTGCCATGCTATTTGTTACAATGTTGAATGCCATTAAATCTAAGCTACAAGCAAGCTAGTGAACTGCTGCCTTCTAAGGACGCCACCATTTACCTAGCTTTGATGCCACAATCTGAGCCCAGCCCAGCTTTTCACCTCTCTGCACTTTGTAACTAACTCCCTTCCAGCTTTTACCACTGTCTTCCTGAACGACAGACAGACGCAATTGCTTCTCATTTGAAGCTGTCGTTTGAGGGCAGGTGCTGAATCGAATTTAGTTCCTTTTTTCCTGTAGGGGGGTAAGCACTCTGCCTTCCTTGTCCCAGACAGCTGTTCAGGACTTAAGACTAGAGCTGTTCAATTTCAGGCTGGGAGGAGTTTGGGGGGAAAGCTTCACTGACTACAGAATTGTTAAATGTGAAATAAACTATCTTCCCCACCAACCCTAATGTATTCTCTTTGCATCTTTTTCTACTTTGGGCACTTCTTTCCTGCAAGAACTCATATTTTAAAAACTTCTTCCTTTCCTCCTCTTTCCAATGAATAACAAAAGTATCCATTTGTAGCCCCCAAATCTAGCAAGTGACCATGTTAGGGACTCAATGATTGATTAGGGAATGACTGAATGCTTTCAGATAAAATGTAATTTATCATTCACCTTATAGTATAAACTGGTTTAAATGAGTCTCTCTTGGTCATGTTTCAATTCCAAGACTCCTGAGTAATTGGAGATGAAAGTCTTCGTTCCTTCCCAAAGGATGTTCTGCTATTCAAGGTGTTCTGAAGACATGGAACATGACATTTTCTGTGTACTCCTGCTAGGAGAAGCTAGCTATCTGATACTGTTAATCAAAGAATCCTGTCTCTTCTTGCCACAGCAGTTGATTGAGCAGCGATAGCCCCCTGAGTTCGAGGGCTGTCAATCCATTTGATACCAGAAGTCCATGACTTGTATTGTATGAAACCAAATTACAAGCTCGTTTTGTATGAAGATGGTATTGTGGGGAAAACTAAATAGGTGAACAAAAACTGTTTTTTAAATTGGTTTTAGAATTTTAAAATTGCTTGAGACAGTTCCCCTACATAGTTTCTTCCCATCACCACATTGGCCAACATGGTACATGTTTAAGACATCGGCGAGCAGTGAGACTTCTTGACAGATGACAACTTGGCCAGTTGAGTTGGAGCTGCCAGATTTTCTCTCTCTGGATAAGACATAGGGATGGCTTCCAGGAAGCACTGGGTGCTGCAAAGTTTGTAGTCTCCCAAACTGGATGTGGCCACTTAAGGGTCACCTGCAAGTGGAAGCAGAAGAAAAGGTTGAAAGAAACAAGAGGACCAGCCATGTTTGGAGACAGAAGCCGATTCTGGAGCACTGAGCACTTCTGAGACACAGAAGCAGTGAGTAGTCAATCTGAATTCCTACTCACAAAAGGTCCAGCAACACGTTTTCATAACATTGGGTTTTTTGGGCTCCTCTTGTATCCTTGCGATGAAACCCATTTCACTTGAGCTAGTTTTAGTAATTTACTACTCCTTGTAATCCATAATCCTCATTAGAACACTGTGCCAGAAATCATACCACAAAAGGCCATGGATCTGATGCCAAAAGACATTAACAAATCCAATGTCCAGCCTATGGAAAATGCTTTCCCAACACTTTAGAAAAGGAGGCACCCCTGCTCTCCACCCCTCACTGCAGCACCAAATATCCTCAGGAGAAAAGAAACAGGGTCTGGACCAAGTTTCTCTCCAACCACCGCACAGTTCTGTTTCTTTTTTCTCTTTCTTTCCTTTTTTTTTTTTCCAGTTGAAAATGTGCTATTAGAAGACTTAGCTGTGACCCAAATATTTCCCTTCTCTGATATTCCCACATTATACTTGATGCCCGGGATTTTGTTGTTGTTGTTGTTAGACCTTGAGAGATGAGGCAAGAATGCGTCTCACTTCTCTGCAGTTGAGCTCCACTTTAGAGTCAATTAGAATCTAAATGGGCCTTGCATAGGAAAGCAATATTTCTGAGGTCAGGAAATTCAATGACTGCTTGTCCAGCTATCCCTTAGAGAAACCAAGTTTCAAGCAAGCTCAAGACAGCAAAGATCCACGAGCAATTTTCTGATTCTGAAGAAAATGTGTCTAAGAAGGCAGACACAGACACACAAGGTGTTCAGCTCTGAGGGTCTGGTCTGTCTGTGGTTGAATGAAAGAAGGCCCCACGCATCATGTAGCAGAGACAGCCGCAGGCCAGCCGTGCACAAGGTGGGAAATCAAGGGAGAATGAGCAGTGAGGCTTGCATCACAGAAAGGTCCACTGAGTCACTTAACTGCCCTTTCTTTGTTCTATAATGATGGTTATCAACCCAAGTAAATGCTCTTCTTTGAGGGAGAGTAAGTAGCTTAAGAAGAAAACGTCTTTGGAACAACCAATATGTGAATACTTACATATTCTGGAAAGTTCCAGAGCCATGTTGTGTAAATATTCGTGGCTCCTTTTGGAGACAGTCAAATGATGGACTTGTTTTGCGTGAAGATGGTATTTGGAGAAAAATTAAATGAATGATTAAAAAGTCTTTTTTTCTAATTGGTTTTAGACTTTGAAAATTGTTTGAGACAGTTCCTCCAGAGAGTTTCTTCCAATCACCGCATTGGCCAACAAGGTATGTGTTTAAGACATCAGCCACCAGGGAGACTTCTTGACAGATTTTGGTGTCCCTTTTTGGCCTTCCCATAATATCTGTGCTTGTCTCAGTCATTACATTTATCACAGGTTTTTTTTTAAGTTGTTGATTTATTTGTTGTGTTTTCCATGGATTATTAACTCTTTGGGAGCACAGAACTTAGCTAAGAGCAGGTATGCATAAATTAATTAAAGTTTACTGAATAAAGTAGCTTACCCATGCTCTTATTTCTCATAGGGGAAACAATATCACATTTAATCACTATGACATAAGTATGATAGGAAAAGAAAAATGCTTTCAGAAATTTTGGATGGCTTGAAATATTTGGTACTTAGTAACTAAGAATGAAGGCCATTGAAACAAGAGTGCATTTATTGGAAGGACTATATCTCACAAGGTCTAAGGGCAGAGTTGAGCCTTGAGGCTACAGTGATACCTTGGGGATGGCCCAAAATGTTGCCTCTGATTCATATTCATTCTCTCTCTCTCTCTCTCTCTCTCTCTCTCTCTCTCTCTCTCTCTCCTTGGCACATCTGCATTATTCTTTGGCTCATTACAATCTACCTTTCTCTGAGGCTCACATGAGGAAAAATGGCAACTGACATTCCCAAATTTCATACGTAACAGCCATCCACACTGAGGATGCCCCAACATCCCAGAGAAGAGACGCATTGTCCCATCTGGGTTCAAGACGCCCAACCCCGGACCCATTGGCTTTGCTGGGAAAGAAGAATTACATCACGTACACAACTTATTCTCCAGCAACGAGGTATATGGCAAATTGGGGCAGGAGAGGACGGAGAAAGGCAAAACCCTAGAAAGGTGAGACAAGCAATTATGTGGTGAAATGAAAAAGAGCAAGATACAGGTTAATTTGCATCGTGTGATTCCATGTTAGTACCCTGCAAGTGTGCCCAGATATGCGCACGTTTCAATAAGCAGAAGGAAAACTATGGAAAGCTGCACAGCAAATTGTCAGACTTTGAGGAATGAAAGAGAAGGAAAGGAAACCATTAATTTTAATCCCAATGTTTCTTTATTATTTGAATGTTCAGAGCAATCATATGTCACATTGTGATTCACATGCAATCTACTACATTAATATCTTTTTCTCCATAATTTAAGCTTAATTAAAATTTAGAGAGAAAACAAACTAACATTCTTTCTCATAGGTGGCTTTGGTTGACCAGCAATTTCCTTCTTTTGTTATATTGATCCAACTGTAAAAAAAATCATTTACTCCAAGTTTAAGAAGATGCTAAGACATACATAAAAAGCCTCACGGTTCACTTTTAAGAAAAAAAAATTGCATTGCAACTGGTAAAGCTCATGAATAGTATCAAAATTTCTGATTACATTTTGAATTCAACTT